TGCTCTCTCTCTCAAAACACTTAAGTAAATTAACAATAGATTTGTAAAGTCCCAGGTAGGGCAAAGAAGAAGAAAAACGCATATACAATTGCAGAATATTGATGAAAAATTAATTCCTTTGAATAAAAGCTTACAGTTTGCTTTTATTTTCTTTCCGTTTTGAGAAAGAATATTAGTAATTGTCAGATTGTGAGTTAGATTGTTTTCATCCTCTATGTTGATTGGTGTGTGTTTCCACACGCATGTATGTGTGTCTGTATAACTGGATTTGGTTCAGTACAGTCCAAACCCACTTAATTTTGAAGAAAAACAAATATTCCTTATCTGAAAGGGTTGGAGGGCAGGAGAACATTAAGCAGTATTATAAAATGCAAAAAGTCAACTGATCTTTAATTGCTGATTAAACTGGTAGGGTTGGTCATGGAACTTTCCAAACCAGGCAGATATACCAGTTCTGTCATCTTTGAGCCAAACTGGATGAATAAGAGACATCAAGGTTGTGTTCCTTCCCATTTTGCATACTAAACTAATGGACAGTTCATCTTGTGGAGTGGCTTGCTATTCCAGCTTCTTGGTTAGGAAAACCACAGTTACTCCAGCACAGTATCTCCAACATGGTGCCATGCCAGTTAGTTGTATTAGTTGTGTCATTGTTAATCATTTAACCTCAGAAAAATAAAAGCATACATCATAGTTGAAAAGTAATTTTAAATGCCAAGGCTTGATAGTAGTAGCCCTGTGTAAGGTTGAATCGATATCTGAAAGCCAATTGGGAGGAAAGGAAACAATAGATTTGGGAGATGTGGGGGGAAAACAAGTAGCAAAATTAATTTGTGAAATGTAGTAATCTGTAACTTTGAACTGAGGGATCGAAATAATATTTTTTAAATGAAATTAACTTTATCTTTATTTTAGCTGATATAGTTATGAAGATTTGGCAAGAAGTATGAAAAAGGCATTCACAGAAACATTATAAGATCCTCATCTGCCAGGATCTTAAGGCATGAATGCAGGGTGAAAGTGTGAGCAGATCAGGCCTATTTAGAAATGTTTATAATTCTGAGGTTTTGCTATAACTATAAATAAATTACTCTTTACATGTATATTTTACTTTCTTTTTCTTTAAAAACACACACACCAGAGTTCTTCTGTGTTCCAAAGACAGACAAAAGGTACAAAAAGTATTAATTACTTCTATTGTCTTGTCTTCTTGGATTGACAGCATCTTAAATACTGAGTGAAAGAAAGCTTCATTTTCTTCCAAATATATATATATCGAAAGCAGTGAGCTATGATTAGAGAACGCCTGATCACTGGTGTTCTTGAAAGGAATAGATTTTAATCTCTGTCTATAAACAGATAGCGACATTTTTAAAGGAACAATTATATGTTTCTTTAGAGGGATGATTCATCAAATTAGTCAAAGAATGCACATTATCAGGCTTTTTATATTTATGCTTGAGTTGCCAACAAGCAGAATCTAATGGTGGATTCAGACAACCAGGAAATAATGTGAGGCCCCCTTGGAAAGCTTACCACATGGAACCTCTAGACATGTTGTATGGACATGTGAATGTGCCCTATATTCAATTGGATCATTGGTCCATTTACCACACTATTGTCTGTTCTGACTGACAGTTGCTCAGGGACTCCATCACCATGAAACTGGAGATATGGGGAATTTCTCATACTTTGCAAGCCGAAGACCCTATCACTGAGCTCTAGTCTTTCCCTAGATACCGGGAGACATTTATATGGAGCCTTCAACCACATGGCCAACCGTAGAGTTCAAAGCCACCCAGATTCACATGTTTTCCCTACACAGGGAAAGGATACCTCAATGGGTTCATTTCAGTGCTAGCACTCGGGAAATTATAAATCGGGAAAGTAAATCGTATGGAGAGCATTTGGGCATAGGTAAACTGAGGGACGCGGGTGGCGCTGTGGGTTAAACCACAGAGCCTAGGACTTGCCGATCAGAAGGTCAGTGGTTCGAATCCCCGCCTCAGTCTCTGCTCCTGCCAACCTAGCAGTTTGAAAGCACGTCAAAGTGCACGTAGATAAATAGGTACCACTCCTGTGGGATGATAAACGGTGTTTCTGTGTGCTGCTCTGGTTCGCCAGAAGCGGTTTAGTCATGCTGGCCACATTACCCGGAAGCTGTACGCTGGCTCCCTCGGCCAGTAAAGTGAGATGAGCGCCGCAACCCCAGAGTCGGTCACAACTGGACCTAATGGTCAGGGGCCCCTTTACCTTTACTAAACTGAGGGCAGGGTGGTTGGTGGCAAAGACTGATAAAGAGGACAGGAAAATACTAGGAGGAGGAGGAGGAGGCTGGTTAATCAACAGAGGCAGGGAGGCAGTTTCAGGCATAATATTTAACATTTTTGTTCAAAACATTTCAGGATTCCTCTAATGTTTTCAGGAGGTTAATAAGAAAGGTGACTGAACGTGAGCCAAGTGAACTGATATAATGAATGTCAAAAGAATAATAGCAAAAATGGCTTTGTCTGAATATCCTTTGGCAAAATTGGGCTTTTAGAAAGTGGAGGCTTTGTAATATAAAGTGTATTGCTTCATTAGCTTCCAATTGGCACAGAGCATTGAGTGCAATTAGCCCCTCATCACCAAACAACTTATTGAACAAGAGGATTTAGCAAAAATGACTTTTTGCTTCAAGAATAACAATGCCAGGATTTCGGAGATATACTTGACAACAAAAATTATACTAAGCTAACATTTGTTAACAACAATACCAGCGTGAACACTTGATCATGATCCACAAATATTTGAAATAAGAGATGGGGATCTGTGACTCTCCAGATATTGTTGGGCTCCTGCTCCCATCAGCCTGCCCCCCCCAGCCAGCATGGCCAATGGTCAGGGCCCCAGGTTGCCAATGCTTGTACACATCTGCCATCAGACACAGACTGCAAGCAGGACCGCTGTGGTAGCTTAATGGTTAATCTCCTCCTCTTCAAGTGACATAACAGGCTGTTGGAGATAGAGTTCCATATGATTAAAAATGAGCTCTCATCAGGAAGTTGCATTTGGTTTGTTCTGGGAATCTTCCTTGTAAACTCAGTCCACTTTACAATATTTGGATCCCACCTTTTCCACTGAATAATTTTAGCTGCGACTACTTTGTAAGAAGCAGTTGTCAGAGGAGATATTCCTTTGGTCCAAGGGAGAAAAAACAATTTCTGCTGCTTTTCAATGAATTTGAGCAACCCAGTACCCAAACCATTTAAACCAGACAATTTGTATTTAAATGTGTTTTTACCCTCTCCCCAAATATTCTTTCGACTGGCTGTAAAGCAGTCAGCCTAGGGATATCCACCTGCCTAATGTTGGGTAGTTATCAGCCAAGATCTCACATTTTCTGCTAATTATTTCAGCACTTATTTTTGCATGCACACTAGACAAAATTGCATTTTCTCTGGAAAAGTCCACTCCGACAATGTCAAAGAATTAGAAAATTATCTGTGCTTAGCGTGGGAGTGGGCACACCAGTGATGATCATCATGCAAGGCATTACTTAGTAATTTTCTTTCAGTAACTCTGTCAGTTTTACCATAGAAACGAAGAAAGAAAAACCCAGCAAATCTAATAATAATAACCAAGTGAGCTTTAGATAGCATTAATAAGCATGTTATTTACTATTTTTGAAATTGCTAGCTTTGCTTTTTCAGGGGAGGAAAAAAAATCTGTTCTCCTTCTTTGCAATTCTCCTGGAATGTACTGTGTCTAAATTTATGCTCTTCACCATTTTTTACCTGATGCACACAACAATCAGGTGTCAAGTAAGAGACTGGAGAGAGGAACAAAGTTTCCAAACAATCCCTTTTAACTGTTAAGAGGCTTCCTGTGGGGTTTTACCCAGATGCTGCCCAAGTAAAAAGTACAGGAACTCATCATGGCAGCCGCCATAGAAATTCCCCCATAAGAACACAAGAGCCTGCTTGATTAGGCCAATGGCCTGCCCAGTCCAGCAATCTGTTCACACAGTGGCCAAACAGATTGTTGTTGTTGTTTAGTTGTTTAGTCATGTCCGACTCTTCGTGACCCCATGGACCAGAGCACGCCAGGCACTCCTTTCTTCCACTGCCTCCCACAGTTTGGTCAAACTCATGCTGGTAGCTTCGAGAACACTGTCCAACCATCTCGTCCTCTGTCGTCCCCTTCTCCTTGTGCCCTCCATCTTTCCCAACATCAGGGTCTTTTCCAGGAGTCTTCTCTTCTCATGAGGTGGCCAAAGTATTGGAGCCTCAGCTTCACGATCTGTCCTTCCAGTGAGCACTCAGGGCTGATTTCCTTAAGAATGGATCGGTTTGATCTTCTTGCAGTCCATGGGACTCTCAAGAGTCTCCTCCAGCACCATAACTCAAAAGCATCAATTCTTCAGCGATCAGCCTTCTTTATGGTCCAGCTCTCACTTCCATACATCACTACTGACTTTATGGTCCAGCTCTCACTTCCATACATCACTACTGGTAAAACCATAGCTTTTACTATACAGACCTTTGTTGGCAAGATGATGTCTCTACAAACAGATACCTGTGGAAAACTGGCAAGCAGGACCTGAGGACAAGAGCACTTTCTCCTCTTGTGACTTCCAGCAACTGGTATTGGAAGACAGTCCATAGCTACACCAAAGTTACCCAGTTTATTCATCTTCTGGTTTGACTAAGACCCCCTAGATCCTTTTCACGCGTACTGCTGTCAAGTCAGGTGTTCCCCATCCTATAGTTGTGCATAGTATTAGTATTAGTAGTAGTAGTAGTAGTAGTAGTATTATGCCAAGGGAATTCTCTGCATTTGCTCTTCTAAAGGACCATCAACTTTGATTTTTAATGGTTTGTTTTCCACCACCATCCCACCTCAGCTGAAACTAAAATTATTATACCAAAGGGTTGAAACGTTATGACCCCTCTTTCCATGAAGACAACAGTGTTTTGCAACACAGAGTTTGCTATGCAGCTTTAAAAATAAAAAAGGAAAACACAGACCAATAAACTCCTTCTTAAGCAAAATTGTGAAACCACGATTCCATCTGTTTTATCTGAATTGCAGGTTGTTCGACATAATCTACTTCAGCCATGTGTGTTATCCCAACGATTATACTATTAAAAAGTAAAATGGCTTTCTTGCAATCTTTGTGCCTTGTAATAACATATTCAGCTTTCCAAGGATGACTGATGTGGCTCTGAGGCTCCTAAACAGGGAAAGGGAGCCCATTTCAACAATCTTTAAATAAGGCTGTTATTTATTATTTGTATCCCCAGTAGGAAAAAAAGAACACAGTTTCACTGAAATGAAACAGACTGTTTTGTGTATTGAGGGGCTTAACTAAGAGAGCCAGGATGATTTCTTCCATAAGTAAACCACACTGTATCACTTCCTAATACTGTCCCTGAGGACTCCATAATTTGTTTGCAAATATTTCCTAGAAGACTGAAACAAGTTCAAATAAATGCAGAGTCGCTTCAACAGGGATTGGCTCCCAAATGTTGTGTTTTGTCTATAATTCTATCTACTGTTCTTTGGGGATGGCAAATTTAGAAAGTTAAGAGGAGGCCTCAAGGATTAGTCAGTAGGGAGAACTTTTGTACATCAGTTGGGATGGTATCTGTCCTAACTTTGTTTTCCAGGAATAGTTACGAGATTGCCAAAATACTTTGGCTGTAGATACCCAACATCTGTCCCTGCTTCACTGTCTTAATTCTAACACGCTTGAATCCTTTCGTAGCTACAACTTGGTTTTTCTCATGAATTTCCCTTTCTGAAAACAATGGAATAGGCACAGCGGCTCTTTTACAAACCAGAAACCTTTCTTTCGCTTAAGAAGAAGAAACACTGGTTGCCCAACTGTAGCTCTCCTGAGTAAACCCCCTGGGACTGGTACAAAACTATAATCATCCCCGTCCTGTTCATTTCATTTTCACAGGAAAATATCCAGATGGGTTGTGTCCGAATGAATTGTGCATTCACAGCGCATGCTATGTAAGAAGCTACAGTAGCTAGGATGTCCCAAACATCCACAAAGTACTGTGGGAGCTGTTATGGAGAAGCCCATAGTCTGTTAGGTGGCCGTTTTTAAATAAATAAAATAAATTAATAAGCCACACTCTTTCCCCTTGGCAACTCAATACATGGGTCTTCTGCAGTTTCTCCTTACAACATCAAAGCCTACCGTTTGTTACATGGGCAGTTCTCCCTAGGTTGTGTGAAAATGCATAACAGAAGCACCTATTTCCAGAAAAATGGAGCGTACCACGGGAATTGCTGCCAAAAATAGCTCTGACTCCGAGTGCCTCCCCCACCTCTCTCCTGCTCTCCCTCTTCCCTTTTGTGCTTTTCTCTTCTTTGCACTGATGCTTCCCCCTCACTGCATCCTGTATCTCACGTTATCGTTTATTCCAGGGTGAACGGGCAGAGCAATTTGGTGTGAAAATGAAAAACATTGAAACCCTTGACCTCTTCTGCTGAAGTCAAGCACATTAGTTTATCAGATACGTGCAACGCTATGAGCACAGAACTAAGAATTTATTCAATTTTTTAAAATAAAAAACCACATGAACTAATGCTATTAACTTGAATAGAACTAAATTTCACAAGTGGCCCCCTCAAAGTGAGCAGTGCTATTTATGGACTAATGTACTATTCAGTAGAAGGGTGTGGGCTCCTGTAATTTACTGCTAATTTTCAGTAAAAACAGTTGAAGCAAAAGGTATTTATAGTTAGCTTTATACAGGAGGAATATTGAATATTCCAACAAGAAGATTGGAGTCCTGTTCAGACAACATGTGTACACTGACTGAATGCATATGAGCATGGGTGGCTCAGGATCATGCCCACTGCTTCCCATGTGTCTTTATCATAAACTTTCCAAGAAGGCCCAATGTACGTAGGAAATACCTGCATATGTTGTTGTTGTTTAGTCGTGTCCGACTCTTTGTGACCCCATGGACCAGAGCACGCCAGGTACTCCTGTCTTCCACTGCCTCCCACAGTTTGGTCAAACTCATGCTGGTGGCTGCAAGAACACTGTCCAACCATCTCATCCTCTGTCGTCCCCTTCTCCTTGTGCCCTCAGCTTCATGATTTGTCCTTCCAGTGAGCACTCAGGGCTGATTTCCTTAAGAATGGAGAGGTTTGATCTTCTTGCAGTCCATGGGACTCTCAAGAGTCTCTTCCAGCACCATAATTCAAAAGCATCAACTCTTTGGTGACCAGCCTTCTTTATGGTCCAGCTCTCACTTCCATACATCACTACTGGGAAAACCATAGCTTTAACTATGCGGACCTTTGTTGGCAAGGTGATGTATCTGCTTTTCAAGATGCTGTCTAGGTTTGTCAATGCTTTTCTCCCAAGAAGCAGGCGTATTTTAATTTCATGACTGCTGTCACCATCTGCAGTGATCATGGAGCCCAAGAAAGTAAAATCTCTCACTGCCTCCATTTTTCCCCCTTCTGTTGGCCAGAAGGTGATGGGCCCAGTGGCCATGATCTTCGGTTTTTTTGATGATGAGCTTCAGACCATATTTTGCGCTCTCCTCTTTCACCCTCATTAAAAGGTTCTTTAATTCCTCCTCACTTTCTGCCATCAAGGTTGTGTCATCTGCATATCTGAGGTTGTTGATATTTCTTACGGCAATCTTAATTCCGGTTTGGGATTCATCTAGTCCAGCCTTTTGCATGATGAATTCTGCATATAAGTTAAATAAACAGGGAGACAATATACAGTCTTGTTGTACTCCTTTCCCAATTTTGAACCAATCAGTTGTTCCATATCCAGTTCTAACTGTAGCTTCTTGTCCCACATAGAGATTTTTCAGGAGACAGATGAGGTGATCAGGCACTCCCATTTCTTTAAGAACTTGCCATAGTTTGCTGTGGTTGACACAGCCAAAGGCTTATTAATTAATCAACCACATTTTACACAAACTTGAAGGCAACTTAGGAATGTACCTATTGCTGGCTCCCTTTTTGGAAGGAAAAAACAGGGTACAAATATTCACACAAAACAAAATGGAAACGAGAGGAAGATCTTTGCTTTCTATAGGAGTCCTTACTAGTGGTTCAGCTAATGATTTTTCAGTTAAGGTTAAGACCTCAGGGAATGTTCTGGAGATGTATTTTGTTGTGTGAATACCAAGAGTTTACAAAAATGTTCCCTAATGAATATTTCAAGCAAACAGGGCAAGGAAGCTTTTACTAAACTAGGCATTAAAAAAAGATGAATCAACAATTGCATACATATTTTACTGAGGCTGTGTCCCAAAGTGTTTATGTTATGAAGCTCCCACAGTGCCATTTTAAAAAGATCACCATGTTCCCATGCAACCTAAGAGGACGGAGGCTGTGGAAGAAGTTCAGGTAAGGCAAAGAGGCGAAATGATTTTAGAGATATTTCAGACACACCCATGCCATATATTTTAAGCACTGTTATACCACTTTAACAGTTATGGAGAATTCTGGGAACTGCAGTTTGTTAAGTGTGCTGGGAATAGTTCTGTGAGGTCTGCACCCTTATCAAACTATGGCATTAAAAGTGGTACAGTGGTGACTTAAATGTATGTTTTGGATGTGACCTTCCTGATCCTGAAATTGTTTTTATTCACAATTACAAAGAAAGCTGAACAGTTCTGTCTTAATCCTACATCATAATGAAAATTGCTTTATTATGTAAACTGAAGGCCATCCATTTGCCTTATCTTCCTCAGGTTCCTTTTAGATCATGGGATAAAAGCAAGCAGTGAACATTCATTCATCCAGACATCCCATCTGATACTGTTAGTCACAGAGGACATAATCCAGTGTAAAAACGGAGGGCTCCCCTCCTGAAAATTCAGCAATTCTGCTTATTGTTTAGATGCATCGTGCATTTTAAATATGAAGCATTAAAGTAAGAATCCAAACTTTTGCCTCTTCACATCTAAAAGAGCTTTTAAAGCATGAAAACTGAAGTAGGAGCAGTATCTGCCGTAATCTATGTTCAGAAAAAGAAGGAGGTACACCTTGTTAGCATTCTCTCTCTCTCTCTCTCTCTCTCTCTCTCTCTCTCACACACACACACACACACACACACACACACCCTACATTAAGATCTTCACCACACCCTCTTCTCCAAGTTGTCCTGCTTAAAGAGGGAAGGGCCTTTCTCGTGGGGATGCCCTGGTTTGGGAACCCTCTCCCCAGTACGGCTCGCTTGGCACCTGCATTAAGATACTTTCAATGCCAGACGAAGGCCTTTTTATTCTCCCGCACCTTTTAAAAGTATGCTTCAGTATATTTGAGTCCTTGAGACGAATTCTTTTTAGCTGAGTCTTAATGCTGTTGTAGAATACTTGTATGCTGTTTAAGGTGGTTTTGTGTAGATATTTGTATGCATGTATTATAGTTTTAACTTATCACATTAACCTTGGCCACCTTGGAAGTAATTGTAAGGACGCCCCCTCCCCCAAAAACCTGCACCCTCAGAAACGAGAATTTTATAGAAATGGCCTCTCCTATTTCATAATGTTAGAATGCAGTTTCTCTTCTCGTGAATGGATAGGTAATGATTGCAAAATAAAGAATGCAGTAGACTTTTGTTGTTGTTGGATGGCACTGTGTTCTAAATCATAGAGAGAACCTGCATGTATGAACCTGGGGAGCTGCCTTATACTGAGTCAGAATACTGGTCCCTCAAGCTCATGGTCTACATTGATGGACAGCAGCTCTTTAGGGCCTTTTTTATGCAAACCCGATGCTCTGAGCTATGGCCTCCATAGACAGGCTGCCCATGTCAGAGCTTATTTTATTTTTCATTAATTAATGTAATTGAATTAAGAATTCAGAAATTCAAGGTGCCATACATGGTTCCCTTCCCCCATTATCTCCCCAACAACTCTGCAAGCTGGGTTAGGCTGAGAGACAATACAGTGGTACCTCTGGTTGCGAACGGGATCCATTCTGGAGTCCCGTTCGCAACCTGAACAGAATGCAACCCGCGTCTGCGCACGTGCGATTCGTGATTCGCTGCTTCCGCACATGCATGTGATGTCATTTTGTGCATCTGCGCATGCGTGAGCGGCGAAACCCAGAAGTAACCCTTTCTGGTACTTCTGGGTCGCCATGGGACACAACCTGAAAAGACGTAACCCGCAGCATTCACAACATGAGGTATGACTGTAGGGGGCCCAAGGTCATCCAGTGAGCTTCAGTAATGGCTGAATGGGGATTTGAACCCTGGTCTCCCAGGTCCTAGTCTAACACTCTGACCCCTACACCAAACTGGCTCTCACCTTCAGCCCTCGTGTGTGCGTGGTTGTGGCTGAGGACTCAAGAGAGATGTGCAAAGAGCTTCTGCCATCCCACACAATTATAACCGTGTGATTAGAGAACGACTGGAGAGAGCTAATAAGGTGTGGTGGTTGTAATTAGGTGACAACTGTTCCATTTCTATTAAAAGATACTGCTGTTAGAAAAAGATATGACAGTAAGAGGGAGTGAAGCAGAGTGTGTGCCTGACTACACTCGAGCTAATTGTCAGACTCCCTAGATCAGTTTAACTAGCCTAAAGTTATTCTTGAGATAAGTTAATTGAACAAATTGAGCTGCACTGAGGAATAGCACTGAAAAACCTGGATTACTGAAAAGGGAAAAGAGTCTTGGAAGGGAAAAAACCAGGCTGACTGTTTCATCTCCCCGATGCAAAGCTGTCATTTTGAGGCAGCTAATTAGGCACAGGGAGTTCTTCTTCTTCCCCCAGATTTGTAGATGGGGAAGCTTTCTCAGCTTCTTACGAGGCTGCTTTCAGAATCCTCCTCTGCAGGATTCCTGCCCAGATTTTGAAGTTCTACCTTAATGGATATAAGTGGGGTCTGCAAAAAATAAAAATAAAAATAAAAATTGTGGCAGTATGGAATGCTCCTGTCCAGGATCCTAACCACCCACCCGGCCATGTCCTTTCCCCAGCCATTCTATTCCACCACCCTACAACAGCTCTCATTTCCCTCCTCCCAGCGTCTTGTGCCTACTGAGCAGCCTCAGTCCTTATTTCTTGCTCCTTTAGGGTTCTCAAGGTCAGAGTCTTTTTTGTATTTCAACAAACCACATGGTCCTCTCCAGCCTGCTGATGCCTCCATTTTGTACATGGATGGTGCCATTTTGATGGTGATGATTTATACCCCGCCCATCTGGCTGGGCCTCCCCAGCCACTCTGGATGGCTCCCAACAGAATATTAACAACATTTAAAACTTCCCTAAACAGGGCTGCCTTCAGATGTCCTCCAAAAGTCAGATAGTTGTTTACATTAAGAGTTTGTTGTTCATGGGATGCAGGGATGCTAACTTGGATAAAATATTGTGGGGGCCCAGATAAGCCTTGCTCTGCATAATCAACCACATGATGCAGTGATGGGAGTGCCCATCAACTTGGGGGGGTGGCCCCCTCTAATATTTTATTGTGGGTGCCGTGGCCCCCACAGCCCCTAGGTGTTGGCTCCACTGGTGGGATGTTTACCAGAGTGGAAACCTTGGTTCTTCCAAAGGTATATTTCTAGAATGTGGCGAGGAATCATAATAAAATTAACTGATCAATTAGCAATAGACATGGGCTACAGGTTTTGTTTTTAAATGGGGAGATCTACCTAGGACCATGCCAGTTAATAGCTGGGAGGGGGGGAGGTGTTCTTTGAAACTCCATTGAAACTTGCAATTGCCCTGAAGATAAAAGGTAAATGAAAGAACCCCTCTAAAGGAATGCTGTTGTCATAGAAACGAATCAAGACCACTCTTTAATCAGCTAGCTACCTTGAGCCAGACCATCAATTATAGAAAAGGATTAGAGGCTGCACATTGTTTCCTCTTCCTGCCTACTGATTTTCATTTGTTTCATTGAAGGACGGGATGCAGCCACCTCTCATTTAGCAGACAGGCTGTTCCCTGAATTCTATCCAGGCTGCTTAGGAACACCCCCTCAAATAGTTCTGGAGGCTGCTGCAACAGGTTTCCATGCAGTTTTCCAACTTACAAATGTCCCCAGAGGTGCCTTTGGAATATCAGCAGGGAACCTCTGGCCCACAGACCCACATAGGCCCATCAAGCCTCCCCCATTTGGCCTGAGAGTCCATCTTGGTTCAGTCATGCCCACTTGCTTTATTTTCCGACCGTGAAAAATTAAAGTGCAGCTTAAATTCGCAAACTTACAAAAATGGGCTTTTATGGTATCGCTGCTGAAACAGACATACAGTAAAACTGAACAAAAAATGTTTTATTGCCGATTTGCGAGCTTGTGTAATTAATTCTAATGTCATTCATCACTTTCATTTCTGGGTTCTCTCTAGTATCCGTAGGATTTTCTTCTACATTTGCCATTTATGGGTATGAGTGCCTGCGGAATTTTAAGGGAGCGGCTTATATTCGGGTATTGTCTTTTTTCTCTCCCCCCCTTTAAAGGTGCGGCTTATATTCAGGCCAATACAGTATATGCACCGCCCATGTTTCTCTGATGAAAATAGGGACGTCCCATTCCATAATGATACTTTTACTGTTTAAACTCGACACATCTTATTGGGTTGCCCCAGCACACTGGCCAGATTCCAACATATATAGAAACATAATAAAACATTAAATGTTTTTAAAAAAACAACCCTGTTAAAATGGTGGGGGACTGCTTTAAATTTACAGTGTGGATGTGATCACTATCCCTTCTCTGAGGGATATGAATTCAGAAGGCAGTTGCAAGATGCCTGTGTTCCTTGTAGTAACAGTTGTGTACCTCTGCCCACTTCCTCAGCTTTCACCAGTCCAATTCTAGTCCAAAATGTTATAATTGCATAACAAAGATAACATATCCAAAGCAACATATGCAAAAAGCTGCTGTGGTGCCAATTTCTGTGGTGGTTATTAGTTTGGAATCAACAAAACGCTTTTAAAGGTTACAATAACAATGGCTTTCGCAGGATATATCTTAATTACCAGAAGAGCATGAGATAATGGGTTTCTTGAACAGCAGTGCAGTAGATTTCCAAATGCTCCCAAATAAAAGTTTCTGAAACACAGTGACGGCTAGTATTTATGGGGACTATATGGGGACTGTAGAGTGAGAGGCCAAGAGTAGAGGGAGCCAGAGTCAGTGAGAGGCAGACCCACCTAATTCTGCAATGCATAGACTAAAGAGTTGGAAGCTGACAGATGGGGGTGGGGGAGGTAAAGGACGCCTGGATGGTTACGTCCAGTCAAAGGCGACTATGGGGTTGTGGCACTCATCTCTCTTTCAGGCCAAGGGAGCCAGCGTTTGTCCACAGATAGCTTTCTGGGTCATGTGGCCAGCATGACTAAACTGCTTCTGGCACAACGGAACACTGTGACAGAAACCAGAGCGCACAGAAATGCTGTTTACCTTCCCACTGTAGTGGCACTGGTGGAGGAAGAGGAGTGGGGGGGGTGCACTGCCCCTGGCAGCACGATCCCGGTGGGGTGCCATTGTGGCTGCCCCCCTGCCTGCACTGGGCACCACACTCCCTCAGGCAGTGCGCCCCATCTTCAGGACGCATGCCAGCCCCACACCCGCCTGCTCTCTGCCCCCCAGTGCAGGAGCATGAAGCTTCGCCACTGCGTAGTGGTACCTATTTATCTACTCGTACTGATATGCTTTTGAACTGCTAGGTTGGCAGGAGATGGGACGGAGCAACAGGATCTCATCCCATCATGGGGATTCAAACCACCGACCTTCTGATTCGCAAGCCCAAGAGGCTCAGTGGTTTAGACCACAGCACCACCCTGTCAGACAGTACCACCCCTTGGATTGGTTGTAAGTGAGAAGGCAAACAGGTGGGGGCTAGCTGAGGGCAAACAGGTTACTGGGACAATACTCCATTTACTCTTAAGGGAGTAGTTTCCATTGCTGAAAGAAGGAGTAGATCTGGAAGTTTCAAACATATGTCCTTGGCATGGTTTTGTATCAGTTGTCTCTCACATGTTCTCCTTGTTTGCTTGCACTGTAATTTGGAAGAACCTCCTTTTGCTGTTGAAATGCCTGTGCATATAAAGATAATTTTACAGTG